TGTATTTTCCTGAGCTTGTCTTTTGATGGGATTATTCAGAAATAAGCTATTAGATTTTCCAATTCCCATGCTGCATTCATTGCCCTGGTAATGTTCGTGGGTAGAGAAGACTTAACATTCATTACAAAGGCAAACCATTCAGAACCCAAGACTGAATACAGACCCAATAAAAAATAAATCATCCTTCTTTTATATTATAAAGAGCTACTTTCTGTAACTCCTTTTTAGGAAGATGTAGTACACAATCAGAGCTATGCCATGCCATTGAAATGGGCATACTATTAACTTGAAATAAGGATAAAACCCTAACATGTCCTGGGCTGCATCAAAAGCAGCGTGGCCAGCAGGTTGAGGGAGGGGATTCTGCCCCTCTTCTTCACTCTCATGAGACCCCATCTGGAGTATTGCGTCCAGCTCTGGAGGCCCAGACATCAGAAGGACATGGACCTGTTGGGACGAATCCAGGGGGGCACGAAGATGATCAGGATATGAGGACGGACTGAGAGAGTTGGGGTTGTTCAGCCTGGAGAAGAGAAGGCTCTGGGGAAACCTTATTGCGGCCTTCCAGTACCTGTAGAGGGCCTGCAGGAAAGATGGGGAGGGACTTTTTACAAAGGCATGTAGTGATAGGACAAGGGATAATGGCTTTAAACCGAAAGAGGGGAGATTTAGATTAGATATTTGGAAGAAATTCTTCACTCTGAGGGTGGTGAGCCACGGGCCCAGGCTGCCCAGAGAAGCTGTGGCTGCCCCATCCCTGGAGGGGTTCAAGGCCAGGCTGGACGTGGCCTTGGGCAACCTGGTCTAGTGGGAGGTGTCCCTGCCCATGGCAGGGGGGGGTGGAACTAGATGATCTTTAAGGTCCCTTCCAGCACAAACCATTCTATGATTCTTTGAACCTGCAACTGCTCCATTAAAATAATACAGTTTGGGCTTTGTAGGCATTACTTCTACTCTGGAGTATACATAGCAGCTTGGTTACCCACAAAAGCATTCGCTTGGGGCTGGAACAAGCTATCATGCTGTCAGAGCAGCATGGATCACTTGGGGAGCCACGGACCTTCTCCTTGCTAACTGCAGCGCTGGGAACTGCCACAAAACTCATTGCTGAGTAGGGCTTATCCTGGACTGAGGTCAGCAAGGTTAATTCAGCTCAAAGCTAAAGCAGAAGCAACCTCATCCTCCTGACATCCCTCCCCTTCTTTATGTTTTCCTCCCCTGGTCAGCCGCGGTGCCTCGTTAGCTGTCTGCAGACCTGTGCTTGAGAGATAACTAAGCTGCAGAACTTCAGCCATTGAGTAGGTAAAGAAAAACAACCCACGAGCAAATTTTCTACAACCCTTGTTGGCACCCATGCTGTGGCAATCATAACATTTTTATAAGCCGGAGCCCAGCACCAAGAACGTGACTCTGCGGTAGAAAAAAGTGTGGTCCCCAACAGCTGATATCAGCATGCCATGACCCAGCAAAGAAAGCGGAGCTGAGCTGGTGCGTTGCTTGCCCGCCCGGCTGCTTGGCTCTGTTTCTTCAGCTCAGCATCTCAAGTGTTTTGGGAGACAGATTTAATCCGCTGACAGCTGCAGCCCTCTCGTGGCCACACAGACCCGACCGTGCTCCGGCACGCCGGCTGCTGGGAAAGCACAAACCCATATTCTGTGGAGGAGGACAGCATATTTGACAAAGCACATCAGTTATTTAATAACATATGCATCCAAGAATAAATATATAAATGAATGGAACAGACACTTAGGATAGTATTTGTTCCAGGTGTGCACGCAGTTGTTCCTAAATGACTTGCTTTTCAAGAATCAAAAGAAAAATTACAGATAAAGCATTAAGCAGTCATGTTTTTAATGGGGTGCCCTGTTTTGCCTCCCTGGGCTGTCACTAAACAGTCTGCTTTGAAGTGCTCCTTTTCTTTTGAGCATTTGCACATTGATTTAAAATGGTGTGGGTAAATTTTGTGCTCATGGGTTTTGCTGAGTATCTGCTTACTGGAAACATGTCTGTCTGCTCAGGAAATGCCAAGGAGGGGTGAAAACCTCTTGGGTGGGGGAACCTGGACTGTTCCAAATTTCTGCAAAGACTGACAGGTAGATGGTTCTTTGGAGCTTGAAAAGCAAGCTTGGGTTTTGGTACATTTTGTTTTTCCTTTTAGTCTATCAGGTAGAGACAGAGACATCACTATCACGTGGAAATAAACCATGGGAATTAATAGTGGAAGGAGCACGTTGAGGGGAGCAGTGCTGAGAACCCATCCAACAGCCCAGCTGTACGGTCCCTGCCCAGTGCTCTCAGCAAATACAATACAATAGAATAAAAAAATAAAATGGATCTGAACTAAAAGCTTGTGCATAGGTTTGGGGCACTCTGGAGGAGGTTGTCCAGTTTTGACTGACGTTTCCTAGACTGACAGCAATAGTACTTACAGACCAGAGTGCTACAGTCCTGCCAGACGGATGACGTTTCGCCACCGTTTTCCCACCGTTTTCCCATTGCTTTCTTCTTTTCTTACTTACAGTAGTTTCAGATGAGACATCTGCAGGAGAAATGGATGTATTGCAAAAAAGATATGGAAAAAAGCAAACCAAAACTAAAAAAACCCAACAACAACAAAAAAAGAAGCAAAAGTGGAGCCTCAATGACTCTATGAGCTGACATTACTTTTTCAGACGGGAGTGATGCTACCTCTGACAGTAACTGTATCTGGGCAGAGAGATCGGGGTGGGGTGGGGTATGTTTAGCAGGATCAGCAGGATGCTGGGTGACAATCACATCTAGTATTTTGCAAGCCAATGTGCCAACCCATGTGCTCGTGATGCTGAAACAAGCCTTTTGATCAAAACCAGGCATTAATAAGGCAGTGGTATTTGCAGCCCCTTCGGGTGGACATGGGCATGTGCTTTCCAGCTTGAGCATGGAAGAAATATTTTATAGAGGTGGGGTCTGTGCCTGCAGGTATTTTCCATCTGAGATGGTGCTTCCTGCCCTGAGACCTATTTGCAAGGAGGCTGGTGGGAGTTCAGGCCCTTTGCACCCATGTGCCCAGCCCAAGGTCTGCACAGCACCATGGCCCTAAGCGCAGTACTAAACCCAACTGGTTTCCCATGCAGGGTCTCCCTTTCCAGCTGGCTGCCCTGGCAGCACCTCCTTCAGCCCTCTGAACATCTCAGGACTGTGTGGAAGTAGTCTTAACTTACCCGTGCACAAATACAGGCTGGGTGGAAAAAGGGGTGAGAGCAGCCCTGAGGAGATGGACTTGGGGGTGTTGGGGGATGAGAAGCTCAACATGGCCCAGCAATGTGTGCTTGCAGCCCATGAAACCAAGTCCATCCTGGGCTGCATCAAAACAGCATGACCAGCAGGTCAAGGGAAGGGATTCTGCCCCTCTACTTCGCTCTGCTGAGACCCCACCTGGAGTATTGCGTCCAGCTCTGGAGCCCCCAACATAAGAAGGCCATGGATCTGTTGCAGCAAGTCCAGAGGAGGGCCACAAAGGTGATCCGAGGGCTGGAGCACCTCTCCTATGAGGAGAGGCTGAGACAGTTGGGGTTGTTCAGCCTGGAGAAGGCTCCCAGGAGACCTTACAGATGCCTTCCAGTACCTAAAGGGGGCCTACAGGAGAGATGGGGAGGGACTCTTTATCACGGAGTGTAGTGATAGGACAAGGGGCAATGGCTTTAAACCAAAAGAGGGGAGATTTAGATTAGATATTCGGAAGAAATTCTTTACTCTCATGGTGCTAAGGTACTGGTCCAGGTTGCCCAGAGAAGCTGTGGCTGCCCCATCCCTGGAGGTGTTCAAGGCCAGGTTGGATGGGGCTTTGAGCAACCTGGGCTGGTGGGAGGTGTCCCTGCCCATGGCAGGGGGGGGGGAACTACATGGTGCTTAAGGTCCCTTCCAACTCTAACCATTCTATGATTCTAACTAACATCTTAACCACATACATTATAATTAAGTAACGTAGGTGCTGTGCTGCTGTGACGCTGCGTTGAGGGAGCAAAGCTGCCTCTCATGGCTGTGGCACAAGGAGGAACTGTAGCTCATTCCCAGCTCTTCTGCAGCCTCAGGCTCATCTTTCTTACTTACAAGAAACCCTTAATACTTCCATGAAACAGTATTTTGCATTTTTATTGTTTTTAGCTAAATAGCCTCTTCATTCTTCATTTTCTGTAAGCCCACACATACAGAATAAGATGGGACATTTTTTTGGTTTAAAATTGCTTTTATTTTATATGGAGAAAAACAGTAGTAAGAAAGTAACAAAATTAATATCTGCCTGAAAGAGCACAGGGCAAGTATCATCCTGGGATCCAAAAAATTCTCCAAACAAAAAGGGTGATAAATTCTTAAGACATGTCTATATTGCGAGATGCTGAGACGCCTGCGGCAGGCAATACCTAAGCTGATAAAACCATGTGAAACAGCCTAGAGCAGAGTGACTTACAGCTCAGGTCTGGGTGCAGTAAGGCACATTATTTGGGTGCAAAGCAGCGGGGACACCGTGCTGGCTTTGTCCTGGTGCAGCTGAAAGCCATGGGTCTGTACGGAGCTAGCACGGGGGCTGCAGCCTCCTCCCGGCTGCAAAACGGCACCTGGTCATATAGAAATGTCTTTAGGTATGTAAACATGCTGGCTACATAGAAAAGTGGAAAATCCAGTGTCAAAAGCACAGACAGGATGCATACTGTTAAAAAAAAAAAAAAAAGTCCATGTAGGCTTTTAGTGAGATGGAGATCTTTACTTTCTGTAAAAACGTCCTCATAGGGCTGGACTAAATAACCAGGGTGAAATCTTGGCTCCGTTGACCTCAGTGGGTCAAAGAGCTCATCTCCAGTGTCGCAGTGTCCACTGACCGTGGCTGGCAATAGGAGGCTGCGGCTGAGCCCCGCTTTCTCATCTTCTTGCCTGCAAGTTGCCTTCTTTCTAGACTATGCCCTTCTGCGACCGCATCGCCCCTATAACCCACCCTAACTTGTCTTCTGCAGTTGGTCCGGACTCTAGGATTCAACCACAATCATACTCAAGTTGTTGCTGAAGATGATCCTCCCATCCTTGTTGCTGCTGCACTCGGGCTGGCAGAGAGCCTCCTGCAGCCGCCGCCGCAGCCCCGGGGGGGCTGTGCCCAGGAAGTTTTTTGTCCCTGTCAGGAAATCCATCATGTGGCCTCCAACCGGGTCCCCCTCAATAAAGCATTCGGTGATATCCCAGCCTGACGGGAACTCATAAACGCGGTATTCAACACCCAGTATCTTCAAAACATCCGTGATGCCGTTGGAAGTGACATAGTGGCCGCTGTCGGTGGAAGGCAAGCAGTCTCTGTACTTCTTCCATAAATTGGCCCATCCGCTACTGTCTGCCAGAACAGGAGGGAAGGTTACTTTTGCAAAGCCAAGGCAGTGAAACACCAGCTAATGCATCTACTAAATGATTTTACAATGCTCCTTTGCTGCTGGTCTAGACTTTGCTGGGAGCAGTAAAAGAGCTTTTCCCTTACTTGAGTCCACTTATAACTGTCCATGCCTGGAGAGGGGTAAAACTGTGACGTCCCTCAGCCTTCCTTCCAAAACTCTCCTGTTTAAAGGAAATTCCAAGGAGAGTGTCTTCAGTGCTGGATTTGCCCAGAAGGAGGAGTACACAGAGGAACAGGGAACAGGCTGCCCAGAGAGGTGGTGGAGTCTCCCACTCTGGAGACATTCAAAACCCTCCTGGACGCTGTCCTGTGCAACCTGTTGTAGGTGACCCTGCTCTGGCGGGGGAGTGGGACTAGATGATCTCCAGAGGTCCCTTCCAACCCTGACCATTCTGTGATTCTGTGATATATCAGTGCACTGAGCCTGCACTTGCGTGCTACCTATTAACTGCCCCTTTGATAGAACAGTGCAGAGGTTTTTATACATTGAATCTCAATTTTAAGTGCATGTCAAAGAATACGTACCTGAAAATCCAGTCCCAGATAGCAAGGGAAACAGCCTACCAGCAACGCTAAAGGGAGTTTTAATGGCAAATGTGGGGAAGTGTGCTTTATTCACCACATCACAAGCTGGGGATTCATGAATGCCACACTGGAAAAAAAACCTTTTTTTTTTTTTTACAAAAAATAATTGCCATGAGATTGCATGTGCCTCTTTGTCCTGCCATAAAGCCTGCAGCTCTTGGCAGCGCCCATTGTCCTGCTGGGTCTAAGCCATCGCTGTGCGGATGGAAGAGCCCCAAAGATGGGTCCTCCCAGAACTCAGGTTGTATAGTGCTGATTTCACCATGAAGAAGGATTGACCCTTGTTCATGAATAGCCACACTTCTCTCTAGCCAGTAATTTCACAGCAAGAGGTCTCTGAAGTATGGAGCAATTAATCTACTTTGTAAGCAGGGAAGCGAGATCACGAAGGCCATGCCTAAGTGGTCCCATCAGACACTGGGGTCCAAGAGGCTAAGCCCAAGATTGCATGGTCCCTATGAAATATAGCATTTATTTAATTTAATTCCTATAGAAAAGGCACTACTGAAATTCTGAGACGGATATTTTTGGCTTACATACTTCAAAGCTCTTCAAAATACCAACAATACAGCAAAAAATTAAAGGTTCCTCTTACCTGATAAAATTATGATCAAGAGTTTACCATGAGGGTCAAGGCAGCTGTGGAAAAACTTGATAGTATTGTGAATATCTTCCACACGGTACAGCATCTGGAAGTGACAGTTACACACACGGCAGTTATTCCTCCTCCACAGTGCAATGGCCCTTCAAAGGCTTAAACCCTTTCTCTATAGCATTGTTTTAAATTACTTCCCAGTTGCTTCCCAGCCTGTCCTGACTCAGCACACACGTTTAGGGATGCCCCACAGGACTGAGCATCACCAGCTCTCCACTGGCCCCAAGAGCCTTGGTTCGGACCCAGGGACCCTCTGCTCAGCTTCGACCACCAGCTGGATGCTGACCTGCCTGTCACTGTCCTTCAAGCCCCACACAGTTTTGTGGTTGGAAAATATGTACAGAGCAGAATCCTCTGTTTTCTGTGGCTGGTCCTTATCACCAGGGGCATTTCTTGGCTGTGTCTGGGCCATGGACAGGCTGGATCTCTTCCAGACACTGAGGAATTTGCACTAAAACAAAGCAGGGCTCATCTCAAACACTGCCCTTGGGACTTGTAACTTAGTCCTTGGCCCGACCATCAAACCCCTGAGACACTTCGCAGTTGTGAAATCAGCTTTTATGAAGTGAAAGCAAAATGAAATAAAAGAAAATTTAAATAAAAGCCGCTAAAGTGAGAGAATAACACATTTTTTTTACAAAATATAATTGGCACATACAACACCACTGTCATCAGTAGCACAGACACAGCAGCATAATTTCTGACCCAAAACCTTACACGGGTGTTCCTTTATTAACATTTCCCTTCAGTGCCATCCAAACTATTCTAATAAGGCAAAAAATTCAAGGGTTTTTTTCATCAGCAAAGCATAACTGTTGGTCTCTGTGTGATGTGTGATGGCCTGGGACTCATCCTCTTTATTACCCACCATACGCAGTTAAACCAGTACAAAATAGAGACCAAAACCAGGATGGATAGCGAATGAGGTTTGGCGTTTGTAGAGCTATTGCAGAAGTTATTGCTCATGGGAGAACTGTGCTGAGCTCTGGTCCCCCAACTTCATGCATACAGCAGAACTGAAGGGAGTAGCTGAATACTAATACTCCTAGCTAATACTCCTATATTAAAGCAATATTCCATTACCTGGATCATATGGATGAAGTCGTATTTCTTATGTGCGCCTTTCTCTTTCACCTGTTGTTCATACTCTGAGGAAGTGAGCTGGTGCCAAATAAAGGAGACATTCTGCAGGTCTGGAGCTTGACTCACCAACTCTGTTTTAAAAAGTAGAAGCAAAACATGACTTTCACAAAACAGCAGAAAAACTCGTTGTTCAAATCCTCGCCGTACCCCAGGCAGGGAGGTGTAGCCTCACCTTTGTAAGCTGCCACGTGTTGTGGGTTGGGCTCTATGATTTCGTTGTCAATGAGGACCCCCGGGTGCGCAGCCTGCAGTATCCTGATCATTTTCAAATCCTGTTCACCTGTTCAATAAACACAAAGTCATCACTTTAAAAAGTACGTAAATGAGATAAAAGGATACCGGAGCACCTGCTGCTGGGAAATTCCCCAAGAAGAAGTGAGGCACTGTCTACCGTGGCATCTAACCCCCTGATAGTCCTACCGTGATATCTCACCACTCAAGGTAACATCTCTTTACAGATAAGCCTAAGAACAAGGAAGACATAAGCAACAGCACAGAAACCTGCTAATGACTATACTCTGGGTCACGGGACAGACAGGTCAAAATAATCAAAGATCAATGTTTAAAAAAAACCAACCAGGAAGCGTTAGTTTTCAACAAAAAGGCAAAGTTTGAATGGCAGCATGGAAGGAGTCAGCACAGCTCTGCAACTTCAACGTGGCACAGAGCGATCCGTGCCTTGGGCACTGCCCTGAGGAGGTGGTGGCTGCTCTGCTGCTGGTGTGACACAGCTCGGAGACCTGGGGAACTGCGCAGCAAGAGGAAAGACCCACTGACATGCAGTACCCTGTATCTTCACTCTTTGGGGACCAGCTACGCTGTCTCAGCTCTGTGCATCTACTAACTAATTGTTGTCTTGGAGCTGCAAGTAGAGACACATATATTTGTGTGTAGATGCACTGCAAATTTAGCCATTGGTGCTCCTCTGGTGCTGTCTAAGCTCTAGAGGAGCAAGTGGCAGTCTGCTCTTCTGTCTTAGGACATTCCCAGCCTCTTTGGGTGCGATGCAGGTCACTCATTTTCTCTCAGAATGTCCACAATACACCAAGTGTACAAAGTCCATCTGGTTCATCTGGGACTATGGAAATGCTAAACATGTCTGTTTAGCAGACATGACCACCTTGAGTGGACCTTTGTGAGAATACTGTCTGTAGCTGATGGTGAGGCCTAAAAATAGTCCTGTCCCTGCAAATGTCACACACAGAGGGCTTGATATGAGATACCGCATCTTCCCTAGCCTTTCAGTTGATGTACCAGCTATGAGAAAAGTCATCATCTTTGGCAGGTGTTGCAGTAAATAGAATTTAAGGACGGAAATATCAGCCATGCCAGCACTACAGGGACATCCAAGGAAGGACGGATCTTTTGAAATTGGAGAAAAATACCCAAGACCCCTGAGGAATGCAATGGCATCGGTGCAGGGCTGGCCAGAGGCAGAAGGAAGGAGGCTGTGGCTCCAACTGTTGAAGGTGGGCACATGGACCAATATTGTTGACAATGGTATTTCACGGAAGATCTCTATAACAAGCAGCTGAGTCACTTCAGACAGTCCTAAATGCCAGTTACTGTGTGCCTGCGGTGGGGAGCACCAGCAACCAGAGGTGCTGACGTGGGCTCCCTGCAGTCTCAGGGCAGCCAGGAGGCAGAGCATCACTGTCCCGTGCCCTGGAGCCACTGATGGTGTATATGCAAATGGGTATATCAACAGCAAAGGGGTATTTTAAAAGTTGTTTAGGGTTTGTTTTGTTTTGTTTGTTTGTTTTTATTCTGTAAAATGCCCTAATTCAGTCTTTACAAGTGCGGTTCAACCAGGGTGTCTGCAAAAACCCTCAGTAAAATACAGGAACTCCTCTGCTCCACCTTGCCCACCAGCAACAATCCTTCAGCAGTAACCACATGGTTATATACCTATTCCAGGTATTCCAGAAACAGGAATGAAACCCCTCTGCAAACAGCAGCCACCCCAGCACTGACTGGGAGGTTACAGCCCAGATGGTTAAACCACCCAGGGGACAAATTGGGGTGAACGAGAAAATGTGATCTGGACTCAACAACAGTCTTTTAGGATGTGGAGTCAGCCACTAATCCCTGTTAACATTTTCGTCAACTAAACTAGTTCTGGGAGCTCTGTGAAATCAGAGTCCAAGCCTGGAAAGGTCAGGGATCAGATATAACCTTTTACTCAGTGCCATCCTAGCTCCCTCCCTGCCCGGCCATAGAAGTTCAGCTCTTGCAGCCATGGGCAAGCCGAGGGGGTGCCAGTCTGTGCCCCTGCCCCGGCACCTCTGAGGGGCAGCTACCCAGCAAACCCAGGACATGAGAGAGTTTTTATTTTTCCCTTAGCGCATCTTCTGAAGAAGAAATAAGGAAAAACGAGGATGGTGCAAAAAGTTCATTTCCCCCCTGTGTTTTCCTGCAGTCAGAATTTTGGGTTTATATTACTTAATGAAAATGGAGTGTAATTGAGAACTGAATGATTTCTTCCTCCTTGCTTTCTCGTACGCTCCAGCCTATTCCCAACTGGGGTAAACAATTCAATGCTATTTTTCTTTTACTCAGGAAAACAAGCCAAATAAAGTGAGAAAAATACTTTCATTTGAAAGTGTTAACACTTAAAATCCAGCTCAAAATAGATTTTAAAGCAAAAGCAAACTCAAAAAAATCAAACTGCCATTTCTTTTCTCTGGTTTTTATTTTCTCCCAGTTTCCCTAGGAGAAAGTTGGACATTTCACCACTTTTTTTTTTTTTTTTTTTTTTTTTTTAACACAAATGCATTTAGAACAGCTGTAAAGCCATTTTTTCCAAAATATTGTTTCTCTCTGGGGGGGACATATCATTTACAGTTAAGCCTTACTTTATCACTGGATAAAAACATAGTAGTAACAAAGAAACACATCTTGAAAAAGATGATGAGGCGCTTTGCTAATGGTTATGGCAAGCTGGTTTTGCACCACCTGGAGTGCAGCATCACCCAGCTTTGGCCTCTGGGATCCCTAAAAGCAAAGAAAAACAAGAGATCCCTTCAGGTGGGGTATTCTAAGACAGGACTTCGGGTGGAATGAACATCTGGGATGTCTCTAATTGTCTCTGATGAGGTTTGAAGGTGCTCTCGTACCTAACCTGGAGCAGGAGTCCTTGCTTTGAGACATGTAAAGTCAGGTGAGAGCCATCAAGAGGCAGAGACTAAGCTAAAATCACTGCACTCTTCTCACTTCTTGGAAAGATTTAAGCAGCAGCGTTTCAGAAGGGAGACGAGGAAGGAAAGGAGGGAGTGTCACTCTCATCCCAGCCCTAAGCCCTGTTTTGCCATTCTCTGCTTCAATAAGGAACGCTGTTATTAATGCCTGAGCAGCTCTCCCCACTGCTCAAAACGTCAATATCTCTTTCTGCTACCCACAGGGACCCCCTGTCCCACAGCATCAGCGGTGCTGCTGAGCTCCTTACCTGTGCCGCTTCCAACTCCCAGAACATTTATAGTTGATTTTCCATTGCCGAGACTGAAATGATAAGTGCACATTACTTAAGCACGCTGTGTCATGCAACTTCGTGTTTAAATTCTAATATCACGGATGTCACGTTGGCTTGGAAATTTAACTGAGTTTGGCCACATGAATTGGGATAGAAATCTGAGCATCCCTTTGGAGCCCAGCTATAACCAACTGCATGGCGGGAGCCAGCCCCTTATTAGCCAGCTCATATTTCAAAGTACAGTAGGCATCAGGGTATAGTGTTTCTCATCCTTTGCCAAAGAGTTTTCTTCAAGCTGTGGCTGGCACCAGGCAAAAAGGCCTCGGTGAACCCCAAGGTGAAGGGCTCCTTTCCGGAATAGCGGGGCTGTGCCTGGCTCTGATGGGCACCGTTCCCACTGCTCCTGCCTGCAGGGACAAGGTGAGATGGAGCAAAACCTCTGCACCCTCAGGAAACAAAGTTTGGCTTTCCAATATCGGGTATAAATACCCAGGAAAAAAAATAAATTCAGGCTACAGATGACTGGAAATCCTCTCTTTTCAATATTCATCTTGGTTTGAAATTGGGAGGAAAGGTCAAAATCTTCAATAATTTTTACCTTAGAAAAAATACTTTTGAAAAGATCCAAAAAACCACTCAACCTTTTGGCTCCAAGAAGAATATTTAATAACAGCCTGGCTCAAGGATGAGGAGCCCGGGCTCGAGGTGTCTCGCTGCTGTGACATGCTTTATGGCCTTATTGTGCTCTTGGGCATGGACTGTGCAGAAGGACTGAGTTTCCCGCACACAATCTCAGGAGACACTGCAGCAATGATTCAACAGGAAGGGAGCGAGTAGTAAATCCTGCAGCGTGTGAGCTAATCAAGGAGCCTTAGCCCTAATGAGGGTGAAGATCCTTTGACAGACCCACAATCAACATCATAGGAAGCCAAAACATTTTGCGTCATTTAAAATGCATGTAAGTAAATTTTACATTTAGAATTTCCCAATACAACTTATTTTTTTAATTATTATTTCCATTGCTCTTTTTTTAATCTATATCTGGTCTGGTCTGGAGTTGCCTGCCCAAATTTTTTTCTCAGTGGAGAATACAGTTCCATAACATCCAAAAATTATCCAAACTTGAAAGATCTTTCTTGTGGTTTGGATCTAGGCTGCTCTAAAACTTATCTGCAGTCATCCAGGCTTAACACATTACATCAATACTTCACAAAACTGATTATCATTTGGTACTTAAGCAATGCAAATCGACTTAGGATAGAAATAAGGAGGTCTTAGGGGATTGAGGAAACCAAGAATTAGTCACTAGAAGAGAATTAGAGATGTGTTTCTGTTTGGACTGATGTGTGATGAAGTCCCAAAAGCGTGGAGAGAGCACAAGAGAGAGCTTTCTTTTGAGAAAAATAAACAACAAAAAAACCCTTTAATCCTTGGAAAATCAGCTAATGAAAAGAGATGGATGTGAAAATGAAGTCTTGATTCTTTTCTTAGCATAAGCTGAGAGGCAGCACAGTGTATTAATTGAAATAGCACATATTCTGGAGTCGTTAAACAGAATATCCTAAAGACTGCTATTAAGGGACTTAAAATTGAAAAACATTAAAAGTTCATTCATGCCCCAGAAAATCCTTAAACATGTTTGCTGACCCCTGTGCGCAGGTTGCCCTCCCAAGATAAAAGATGGCTTTCCCACATCGGTGGGAGCACTCCTTACCCAGCCATGATGTTGGGCAGTTCTTCCTTGTTGAACTCATCCATGCACTGGTGCTCTGTTGAATGATCCAAAAATGACTTAAAGGCTTCTACATACTCCTCAGCTGTGAGACTTCTCATGGAAGGGATCACATATAGCTCTTGAAAAATAAATGCAAATTGGGTGTTAGCGGCTTCAAGGCAATTGAAGGATCAAAGCACGAACCTTGTGGAAGAAACCCAACCCAACCCAACCAAGGCCAGAGATTTGGGAAGACGGTATAGAGGACACATGGCACAGGAGCCATCCACGCAGGTGGGCTCATGCAAACACTTTCCAACCTGTTCACACTCAGGGTTTGAAAATTATTCTTAGATGCCCTTTGACATCAGTGTATTTGTTAAGTGCTTCATTACTACAGGTCAACCTGAGGAAAATGTCCCCAAAATGTTTAGCCAGATACGGGGTACTCGGTGTGCAGAAAGGGAGATAACTGGAGTGTTTTTCTGGAAGACTCAAGGCAAGAAGGTGAGGGGAATTGCACAGCAGGTCCCAGCCTGGGTGGGAGGGGTGTCACTCTTGCACGTGCTGGACGGTGCAACTGAAGTCACCAACTGTTGGCAGACTTGCTATTAGGGGTGATGCAACACAAAACCAGGCAACCTGCACCTCAAGCAAAAATAGTCAACCCTGTGCACGTCATTTCTGACTCTTGCTGGCGTGGGACTGCAATGCAGTGCCAGGGAGGTGAATTCCCTGCTAGGAACTGCAACTTGTGGCCAGGAGGGCAATTGATAGCTAAAGCATTTCATCTGAATGGGCTCATGCTCAAGTGTGGGTGGTTGAGACCAAGAGTTCTAGCTCTGAACCAATGCCCAGGGCTACTCAAGAGGTTGCAAAAACTCACTTTCCTGCTGTCTCATCCTAATGACAGCACCGCTGCCAGGGCACAAGCTCTGGCCAGCTGCTTGGGTCTGAGGAGCAACGATAAGGCTAAGACTTGAGGCTCATGAGAAGATGCCATTCACCTGGGTACTGGCTCTGGGGTCTGTCTCAGACAGAGGGCTGCAGTAGGGAGGCAGTCGCAGTGGAAGCCTCAGCGTGTGAGATCAGCATTGGAAAGGTAGGATTCAATAGAAAAAAATTAGCTTTTCCTCCTAAAAGAAATGTGGATGAAGGATAGGACTTAGAAGAACATCTTCATCCTCGTTTTTGCCTTTTGAGGAGCTGCTTATTTATCATCTGCTTTTAGTTGCCACTAGTAAGAAAACTTTGTGTGTATAGGACTGTGCAATCTTAAATTCAATGCCTGTGCCATTTCCAAAACCACACATCATTGGCAGCTGTATTTCAGGTAGGTATGTATGGACACCCTATGTCCAGCCCTATTGGAGGTGAAGATATCAATCTCTGTCCTCACCAACTTGAACTATACCCTGAGATAAACCTGAAATCACCCAAATTGCATCCTGCTTCTTTTGGTTTTGGTGTTTGTTTTTTTTTAAAACAATTTCTGTCTCTTAAAAAAATGAAAACATGTTTGTAGTGATAGCAAGCTGAGTGGGCATTTTACTTTAATCTCTTTTTTTTTTTTTTTTTTTCTCCCAAATACCTGAATTATCGTGTGGAGCTGTCAGAATCTCTGCTTCAAAGTTCATGCTGGGGAACCTATTCCTGTAAGGAAAGTATAGCACTTCAGTTATTTGAAGAACCTGTATGCTTTTTTGAAGCTGCCTTGAAAATGAAGAACAAAAGGAAGATGCTCCAGGACAAATTTTCCTTGCCTGGTAAACAATACTGTTTGTTCTCTTTTACTAGAATAAAGAAAGTCAAAACTTCTTGGTTAGCTGATCACCCATAAGTGTCAGCAACGCACTGGCCACCTGAACCAGTGCTTGTCTGAGGTGGGTTGTGGAGGATTTTCCTTCCTCTGAGGAACTGATAACCAGTCAATACAGTGGAAGGCATTAGACTAACTGATATTACACACTCTGTGAAACCTTTAATTGTGAATGGAGTAGAAGAAATAGCAGTGAAATTAGGAAAAGCCTATACTGAGCTTCAGCGTCTGAAGCACTGTTTGGCCCAATGTTTTGGGGACCTTTTTGCTTTGCTTTTTTTTTTTTTTTAACTTCAATTTTTCTTGGCTGCAAATATTACATTGGGTAACTTGTAGAAGGCACAAGACTCAAAAGGCAGAAGTCAAAGAGATGAGTATAATGACCATAAATGTTTTCCTTCAGTCATATGTTTTCATTCTTAGTTTAGTGGGGTTTGTGAAGCTTCCCAGCAATGAAGTCACATCTTCATTTTCCTTGGACAATGTGCCTCATCTATAAAATAGGGATGAGGTGCCACTAAGCGAAAGGAAGGGATGAAATTAAATTTGAGCAAGGACCACACGCCTGCAAAGAAAGTGTTGGGGTTAGGCTATCTACACAAGGGGAATAGTCATCTTCTGGGTAACCACATTTCAATATTGAGATGCCCAACAAGCCTTAGGGGTGATATTCCTGTAAAACCTGAGTTTAGACATGTTGCTGCTCCCAAAGCTTTGCCATTAGGAAATGCTTCATGACAAGCAGTCTGCAACAGCAGTAAGCAGCCCCCAAGTCCCCTCTGCCAGGGAGAAAACTCCTGCGTGAATAAGAAAGAAAGCAGGAGGTGGAAAAGAAAAAAAGAGTCTTGTAGTAGGACTTTGAGACACACTATGTAATGAGTATAGCAGATAGCAAGGAAGTGGTCACGTGTGCAAACAGCGCACTGTTTTGGTTGATGAAGTCACAAAAAGACTAAGGTGAACCAGAGACGTTTCAGAGATGCTGGGGCACTGCCAGAGTCCTTGCACGACCAGTTGATCTCATCTGAGTTCACTGCCAAAGTCACATACCTGGCTCTCACGACATACACTGAAGGTCTCGGTCCCACCACCTTGACCTCACTTCTCCCCCGAAAAAAAAATCTCACAGAAATTCAGCAAACAAGCCTGAACTCAGCCTACCTCCATAAGCTCCAGCTTGGCTGCAGGCCAGTCCCTCAAATTCCCACTCAACCCTCTGACCTCTTCCGTCTCTGCTTGTCAAAACAGAGGACTATTTTGTCCTCTCAGTTGGCTGAACCGAGCAAGATGGTTTTCAGAATAAATCTCCCAGTAAAATGCCGAGGGGTAGCGTGGCTTCCCCTGTGCAGAGGAACAGCTCACAGGGTCCAGGGACACGAACACCATTTCTGACCGGTCAAATGTTTCCAGCCATCCCAGGAGATCTGCCAGGTGACCTGGACAGACTGCGGCACAAGCATTCACCAGGACGGATGATGCCAAGATAACTCTTCCACTAACTTTTGCCATTTCTCCCCAGGCAGGGCTTAAGACTGATTAATGCTCGTTGCTGGGAAGTTGAAACAGGCTTACTCATTGCTGGGAACAAATGAGCTTTCTGTAAAATCTGGCTTAAAATTTAGCCTAGACATGAAAATTGACGGCAATACTTTGGGCTGATGCTGCCCATCCCAAGACCTTGATACCCAACAGCGGGACCGAAGCAGTGACTGCCAGGGAGGGGGATGCTTGTGGACAGCCGGTCCTGCCGCAGCTCCTGGCTAAGTCGGAGCTCGCCGTTAGCAAGTTTAAACATCTTTCCCTCCGTGAACTGAGCAGATTGCATTAGGGACTGTGGGTGCAGGGCAGAGAGGGAATTCACAGTGCCACTTTAAGTGATGCAGCTCCTTTGAGTTGAAAAAGTCGTTAAATTCAAGATGTTTCTAGCAACACAAATTGCAAGAACATCTTCATAACTCATCATTCCATTACAGCTAAACTTAGGCTACTAAGGGGCTAAAGGTCTCCTCACAAAGACTGCCTTAGCCCCCATCCCTCCCAGGACATAGGCACATCAGCCGTTACTCCCACCTTACACACGTCCACCTGTGACACAGGGACAGCAGGGACCGGCTCTACCACCCAGCCGGACGGTGGGGAAACACACATCCTCGCTCCCTTCCAAAATCCACGTACCTCTTCATCTCCGGGGCCGGATCCATGGTCAGGGTGGGTGCCGTGCTGGGGGACGGCAGCTGGGCAGGGGGCTGGGGGTTAGCGTGGTGCCTGGCCCCTACGTTAGCATGTCCCCCCGCCGCGGTGCTGGCGGTGGCCCTGGCGTGTGGCCGCGGCTCGGCTGGCGGCTGGCAGGACAGCAGCGTCACTGGAGCAAGAAGGGGAAATCCGAGCCCTGCAGGGAAGGAGCGAGGAGCCAGGGCGGGCGATGTGCTAGACCTGACGTCTGCGGGGTTGTCCTCATCACACGGGAGCTGCACTGCTTCCAACGGGAGGGGAAAAAAAAAATAAATAGACAGATTGAGATTTCCAAACCTTTAAAACCTGAGTGGAAGTGGTGGAGGGGTGTCAGCCGGCACCAGGCAGACCCAGGGGCCATTTCCATCTGCTTTTTAATTTGCTTTGAGCCCTGCCTTTC